GGAGTTGCCAACTTAAGAAGGAGCTGTACTACACTAGTCAACGCTGCTCATTTTTCTCTCTGGGGTTATTTCTTTGGTGGAATTCGCTACCGATGTATGTCATACATTCTCGCACCTTGAGTCTGTGTTTAACAGGCGTCTTGATACTCACATCTTAAGTGTCAGCTGGATCTCTCCAAACTCCTATCTACTGAGACACAGTTATAATTAGACGTATACTACTAGAATGATTGCTTTACGTGAACTTTGTCCTTTCTGCACTTGCTGAATTCACATACAGCGATTGCGTTGCTCGTTGGTATTTCGAGAATTCTTAATCCTTTTAAAACTTATGTGTGCCTATCAGTCTTATGCATTTCTGATTTAAAAGTGACCTTTAAAATATTTGCAATTTAACTGCCGTTCATGTTGATGCAAACCGTTCAAATGAGGTTTTCGAATTCTTCTATCTCTTACTCGAAATGCATCCAGTGAGTGGTCAATCAACCCCTACATAAAACCGTAACTGTATCCTAAAACCAGTCGTCCGGAAATTTCACCTGTTTCATGTTGCTGCGTTCTACCGATTTTTTTCACTTTCTCCAGCGCGCCGGTGCAGTCTAGTAGCATCAAGTAAGCTCACTTTAGTCATTCATACTCGTTTGAAATTCTGTAAACCATCAGAAAACAAGTGTTAAGCTGCCCTCAGCAAAAATGTTAGCCGATACTTGTATGGGAGTTTGTAGATGACTAAACAAGCTTGCAACGCATCTTCCTTCCTCTTCCCACTCCAACCGCTTTCCGATGACACAAAAGCTTAAAACGGCCGCAGATTGGTAACCGACAAGGCCAAGTAGTAGCCTCTCTACTCTTGTCAAATATGACTTGATCGCCAACTGCTAGTGTCCTAGGCTTTATTTAGGGAATATTCCCCGATACCGTGTAAGCGGAAATTCTGCAAAGGCCACATTACTTGGCAGGTATTGTCGTCTGATCGTCAGTTCTTAACAGGATCGAGCTATCTCAAGTCAGGGTTCAAATTTATTTTAACGCGAACCTTGTCAATTGTCATGAAGAAGGATATTTCAGCACTGCCCACTTTTTTCAATAAAATGTTACATCCATTTCTGACTCATTATCACTTTGCTCTTGCTATCCCCCCTTGTAGGCATCTCTACTGACACAGACCCTGGATCCTGTTTTCGCTGATTGGACGACAATGGGCAAGAACTCTGGCCCATCTCCGATGGTGACGCTGTTTCTCAACGTGTTACTTTCGTTGGATCCGGCACAGAAGAAGCGTATTCTTTCTCTAGTTGCAGTCTCGGATTCTTTTCCGCAGTGGTCTGATGTTGTTCTACTTGGTATTGAGAAAAGTATTTCTATTACCCGCGTAAGTTATCTTCACTGGCTTTTTACGGGCTTCAGTTCGCTTCATTTTTAGTAACGGAAAGATATGCAAACGCCTTTCAGGCCCCAACTGGTAACAGTGACTAATAAAGGTATCGATACATCAGAAAGATTTAAAAAGAGGTCGCTCACATAATTGCAGACGAACAGCGAGGCGCCGCCCGGTAATCGAAAAGAGTAGACATACATGGCTACTCAAATATTACGAGTAGTCTGCAGTACGTAGAAGCAGCAGCTGTCGGTTAATTTGGCGCGCGACATTAGCGTGCTGCGAAGAGGAGGGTGGTAGGTGCGATGGGAATATTCAATGGCAATCAAGACACGAAGAACGAAATAGCCGGCATTTTCGACCATTACGTTTTTACACTTTAACACCGACTTAATCAAATATAAATTTTGGCAAAAAGTTCTTTTCGGTCACTAATCGTCAATCTGATCAGAAGTCTACGGCTGTAACCGTTGAGTCACGGGCTCGTTGTCGGTTTCCAGTTTGGATCGAAAGAATGTTAACTAGCACGTTTCAAACAGGTTCTATTCGAAAAAGTCTGGTTATGCCATT